GAAAGACAATAGATGATTAAAAACAAATGAAGAGTATAAGACTTTTACTAGCTATAGAAAATGGCTTAGAATAGATGCCCACCACATTGCAATGAATGGGTATTTATAACCCAATATTAACAAACTAACAAATCTAAATTTTTTTAACTAATTGCCGACTAGCATCAAACTATTAACCGTCTAAAGATGAGCACTTGAGCTGGTTCTTGATAAAGACATGCTTTTCTCTTCATTCATCATTCTATCATCGAGAATCGAAAGTGTTATGCCTCTTTTTGTTCTACTTGAATCGAAAGTGTGATACTTCCTTCCGTTCTACTTTAGGTAAGAATCGAAAGTGTTTTGTCTTCTTTCGTTCTTCTTGAATTGAAAGTGTGATGCTTCCTTCCAATATACATTAAATAAGAATCAAAAGTGTTATGCCTCCTTTCATTATACTTGAATCGAAACTGCGATGCTTCCTTTCGTTCTACTTTATACGGGAATGAAAGTATTATGCCTCATTTCGTTCTACTTGAATCGAAAATGTGATGCTTCTTTTCGTTCTTCTTATTTACATTCATTTCTTTCTTCATCCTAAGGTTCCTTGAAATTTTTCCTCATGGACACTTGGCTGTAAAGTTTTCAAGTCCCATGATATTAAGATAGAAGCAACAAATCAGAATGCACAATCCAAAATAACCAGCAATGCAACCCCGTGCAACACATCCACAAGAAAGTAGCACAGACAAAATTTGTTTCCAAGGATAGAAAGAAAGTGAACTCCCGACAAACTCTAAACGTAAACAAACCATTTAAAAAACTCCAACAATTTATCATACCATTAGCTTTCAAGAGCGATCCTACTCAATGTGGTCAGATGGTATGTCTCTTCGTTCTTGTGGTGTACCTCCACCTTGTACTTCTCTTGTTGAGTTTTGCAAAATCATCCGATACTTTGGCGTTGACATGAACGATTTCTTTAAGTTGGTAAGGCAGCATGAATAGGATCTCTGTTGTATGGTCTTCACAGCATGATTTGCAGCATCCTAAACTACAGGATAGTTTATGGCTCCATCTTGCAGCATTGGTCCATGGACATCTTTCTTGGCACAAAGATCTGAGGAAGTGAAAGAAGAGGAATAATCAGCATCACCAGCAGTTTAAACTCCTGCAATTCTTTGAAGTCCTTCCAAGGCTTAACCCAAACTTTGGCCTCAAAAAACTTCTTTTTGTCACCGTCAAATAGTGAAGCATCCCAGCCACTACTTGCTCGCTTGCTTTCATAACTCTCACGAACTCAACCATCTCGTTTTCTTTCTTGTTGTGTTCATCGACGGTAAAACGAGTGAGGTTTTCGATCTCGACGTTGTTATGGGATCCCTGGGAAGGACAGACTCTGCCCAAAGTGGTGGTTGTCGCCATTGGCTTAGAACAAAAGGTTGATTCAGCGAAGAAATTGTTAAAGAAGAGAATTGGGATTGCTATCGAAAACCAAAAGGGGTTATAAAAAATTGATGCAGGCACAAAGGTTGAGCATTGTTGAACGACAGTAAGAAATGAAAACGAGAAAGGCAATAGATTATGAAAAACAAATGTACAATATTAAACTTTTACTAACCGTAGAAAATGGCTTACAATATATGCTCTGCACACTACAATGATTGGGTATCTATAACCCAAAATTAACAACCTAACAAATCTAACAATTTTTTAACTAATTGCCAACTAGCATCAAACTATTAACTGTCTAACACACACCTAACTCAACATGACACACACACATATAATTCTCATTAGGTGAAATGAGAACCTAATTAAAAAACCATAGATGGAGGGGTATTATAACAATTATATCTAAATATATAGAATTTAATTATATTATTATTCTCGAGTTGAGTTTAAATTTAAGGTAAAAATTATCCGACATAACTTTATCTTTAAAAAAACATGACATGATCTTACGTGAACTCAAATTTAAAAAAATGTACCCCAACCTTATAAGATAGAGCCAATGGAAATCATTATTCCTCTTCGATCTTCCAATAAAAATCAATCTCTTCCAAACGACAATGATTCCACTGCCACAAGAACCACTGAAACCACCATAACGACAATCGCATCTATCGTCGCATCAAACAAGACTCTCTCATCCACATTGAGCCAACTGAATAATTACATTACGCCATAAAACAACAACAAACTATCATTAACCTAAAGTGTTAGATGATAAAATTGAATGTTTGTGCTAAAATTGGAGCATTAAAAGGTCAAAATCTTGAATAAAATTTTATTATTTTAAGTGAATTTTAAAGGAAAATAAATAAAATTATGGAGAAAGAGAAGTAAAAAGGTATGTATTCAAGAGAGAAACATACATGGGGTGTATTATTTTATGCCTTGTTAAGGGTGAAACATACATGGGGTGTAACACATAATAATACCAGAAGAGCGAAGAGAACAAAACCAAGGAAAGAAAAACGGTACAACACCGAAACTACCATGGCAGACTAGCTACGGTCATGTTACAGGGACAATAAGATCAGCATGAAGAAGCGACACAAGCACACCATGAGGGTCATCGAAAAAGATTGGATCAAAACCATTCAAACTAACACTTTTCGCTAAAGCATCAGCAATTTTATTATCCTCTCTATGAACATATTGAATCTTCACAGTCCAATGACGTTTACGGAGAGCAGAAAAATGTTCTATCAAAACATGATGACCTTTAAAGTCATTACGAAGAATACAAAAAGCGTCAAGGCTATCTACTTCCAACACAATATGCCAAAAATAGTCTCCCAAGCCAGCTCAAGACTGATCAACGCACCCTAGAGCTTCACATCAACAACCGGGCAAGCACCGATAAATTTGGTAAACTCAAATTTCCAAGAAACTCGTTGAATCATGAGCGACACCATGAGACGAGGCGATCCCATCCGCCTCCGTACGGGCACCATCAGTGTTAACCTCAATCCAATGAGCCAGCGGGGAGACCAATGAGAAGGGCTATTGACCACAACAGGCTTCACTTGCAGAATCTGTCGATGCTCTTCCAACGCCCGAATGGATAAATTCACTAAATGTTTACTACGCTCAAGAACACTACCATAATTAGTACTAAGTGAGCCGAAGACTTTGACATTCCTATCCAAACAAAGGTTCCAAATAACAACACCAAATAAAAGATCCTATTCACTAATGTTAATAGCAAAACGTGAAGGATCATTCAGGTTCACCACCAACCACTCGGCAACGTTGAGGGATAAGAAATCAGCCAACTTATCAGTTTTAATTAACTCCTTCCAAACCAACCTGGCAACCGGACATAGTCGAACAACATGGTTAACATCTTCCACAACAACCCCACAGACCTGACAGCTTCTGTATTTAGCGAAATGCCGGCGCAACACGTTCGACATTTGTCATTATTTTGTTCCAACAAACAAGCCACATAAAAGTTCTGATTTTCGCTAATCCCCTGAATCTATTGATCGCCTTCCGAATGACACTAGAAGGCTCAACCGGAGGACCACATCGAAGAAAATAAGCAGATTTGATAGTGAAAGACAAGCCACTTGTGCCATGCCACCCAATGGAATCCGAAGAAGAAGAGTTGGACGGGTCATTAGTAGCTGCAATACGTAATAAAATATCCCGCAAGGAAAGATGTTCGAATAAGTTTTAGGGCCAATTACCAACCGAATCCACCATATTTTCAACCGATATATTCTGAAGATGAGGAACAATGGCTGGATCGACGTGATGGACCAAAAGTCCTATGTCTAGGATGACAATCGGACGGGACGGGTGCGGATACCTCTTCTCTCATTCCCATACCTACCTAATATTTTCCTACTATCACCTAGGACGGGTAAAATTTTTAAATCCACACCCGCCTACATAGATACATTATCAAATTCATCCCCACACCCATTATCCAACTGGATACCCATCACCCATTTTGTACCCATCTGTACCCGCATGTACTCGTCTATACCCACATGACAGCAACCTTACAAATTACATAAACAACAAAATATAAAACAAACATGTCCATTATGAAGTAAAACATACAGGAGAATGGGCAAAGAAAAACTTACAAGAGAAGACTGTGGCAGAAAGAAAAGCACAAACGAAGGCAACAATCACTAATCTGATAATGAAAAATTAATTTTAAAGATTGAAAATTAGCTTTAAAAAAATTTATACCATAATATTTGATTAAATTATAAATCATATCCTATAAAATTTTAAGATTTATAAATTAATATCTCAAATTATACCTAAATTCATAACGGTCTAAAATTTATACAATGGGTAATTAGTGGGCGAGCGGATGTGGGGCGTACATATATAAGGCGGGTAGATGCGGGGCGAGTAAGGTCTCAAATCCATCACCTACCCACTACCCTCGGCAGGTATGACTTTTTACATCCACACCCGCTCACTACCCACTAAATTTATACCCATCCTCGTCTCAATTGAAGCGGATGCGATGCAAAATCCATAAAATTGTACCCATCTGCCTTCCCTTCCCATGTCTCCAGGCCAAGTATCACGCCAGAAATCAGCATATGTACTTACGAATTCCATTCCAAATAACACTAAGCCCCTTCTAAAGACGAGAGCAATTAGCATTCCTCAAAAAATGGGGGATACCATCCGAACATTGTACTTTTCCCGGATGAAATGAACACAAAGATCATTCTTCCGAGCTAGTAAATTGAAGGAAACTTCATGAGAAAGGCTTCATGAACATTTTAATATCAATTTTATCTCATATGAACATAGAAAACGATCGAACAAAATTTTCTTTAAAAAAAAGTTAAATTAAAAATTGTTAGTATCTTAAATGAAACCTTTTGTAGTTTAGAGACCAAAACGAGACAACTACTATAGTTTAGTGACTAATAGTGTAGTTTGAAAAAAAGAATATAAAATGCCTGCTTCGACCCAATTAATAAACACAGAGATTTACAACCCTCGTTACCTTTCCTCATCTGGAAATCGTTATTTTCCTCTCCGGTCTTCCCATGGAAATTGATCCCCTTCCAAACGGCACCGATTCCACCGCCACAATAACCACCGGAACCACCATAACGACAGCCGCAACCACCGCCGCATCAAACACGGCTCCCTCGTCCAAACCGAGCCAGCTGACGGAATCGTTGAAATTAGAGCACCAATTCCTGCGTGTTCCCTTCGAACATTTAAAGAAAACGATCCGAGCAAATCATCGAACCGCCGAGAAAGAAGTCTCCGCCGTCGTTTCAAGCGTCGCTGACGTAGCTGAAAGTAACGAACTCTCCAAGGACGACGCGGTTTTGAGTCTTAGTTCCCTTGTTTCTCGTTTGCAAGGCCTCAAACGCAAGGTATAAGAAGAGGCTTTTGTAATTATATTTCCTTTCCTTAGTTAGGTTTGTTTCTGAATTGAGTGGTGTGATATAGACTGAATTGAAGTTAGCAAAGCAGACTCGTTTTTCAACTTCCTCGAGATATAACTGTTAAGTTTTGGATAATTTTGAGTGAAAGTAGATGAAGTTTAATATGTTTTAGGATCAATGTATATAAAAAGAAACAGAATAAGTAATTCGATTTGAAAATGCTTAAATTTCTGAAAAATGAAAATTTGAGAATTTTACTTCAATTTGATAATACGAATGTTTCTCGTCTTTCAGTTGGAAGAGGGGAGTCGAACAGAGAACTTGCAGGCACAGAGGTGTCGGGCTCGTCTTGATCACTTAGAATCTGTGGACGCTGAGAACCTGTCAGAATGGAATAACGTGAGATTAAAGCGTATCCTTGTGGACTACATGTTGCGTATGTCATATTATGACACTGCTATGAAGCTGGCCCAAAGTAGCAATATAGAGGTAATTTTACATGCTTGTTTAATCTGATATGTTGTTACAGGTGTCATTCTTTAAATAGTGGAGGTTTCCACTTAATATATTTTGGTTATTGGAGAATTTGAAAGGGCTGTCATGTACCTTGAATAAGAGTGGTTCATCTTCTTTTTGTCCATAATAATATTCACAGTAAGCACATTTCAACTTTCTGGATTAGAAGGCGCTGTCATTCATCTGTGTTTCAAGCGGCTTTTTCTTTCACTTCAAATGCTTGAAAACATTCTGTTTTTATTTCTTTGCAATAGTTCCAGTTACGTTCCTAATAATAACTGTTGAGGTCCAATAGGAACTTTATGCTCATTGTAGCAATTACAACACATTAGAAGTTACTGCACCGCATGGATTTCACATCATGCGCCACCATTCTTGATAACCAATCTGGTTTTACCATTATTTTGCAATGGCTCTGCTGTTGTTTGAAGCAAATATGTACCTTTTTAAAAAAATGTCTTTTACATAAGAATAAATAATTAAGTTCTGTGGTATTGTCTGCCTGCAGATAGCCCCCCTGCAATTTAAATGAATTTTTATGTTCCAGGAACTTGTTGATATTGAAGTTTTCCAAGAAGCTAAGAAAGTCATTGATGCCCTTAGAAATCAGGATGTGGGTCCTGCCCTTGCCTGGTGTGCAGATAACAAATCACGGTTGAAGAAGTTCAAGGTATGCTCTCATTTTGTGTTCTGAATTATGATGATCATTGCACTCTTTGAGTTTCACTTGATGTGATTTTAACCTTTTTTCAAGGCCATGATTCTTTATGAGTTAAATATAATTGAGCTTTCATGATGCTGTTTAATTACTCTCTTAATTGCATTCATTAGACTCGGATGATCTTTACTCTTTAGTAATCTGTCAAGAATTTGTTGTATCCCAGCTTGGATTAGAACTGTGATTTTAGATAGTATCTGGGACTGGGAATGTGTTTCGTTTTGAATCATTTTGGTTGATTTCGTTCAGAGCAAATTTGAATTCCAGTTGAGACTTCAGGAATTCATTGAGTTGGTACGAGCTGAAACTACATGCGTGCTATTTTGTATGCTCGAAGGTACCTTGCACCATGGGGAGCTAATCATTTGAAAGAATTGCAGCAAGTCATGACAACATTGGCCTTTAGAAGTAATACTGAATGTGCAAAGTACAAGGTGAATATTACTTAATTGTATTATATTAAAACATTACATCTTCTTCTGCGTAAATTTTGTTCCAACGCTGATCAATCATAATGCTTCCTTTTTGCTATGGCCTTAGCTATGACTTTATACCATAATATAGGATAATAGCTCAGGTTTGGACAATGCTCACCCTAGTTGTTTATGATACATTTCCAGGTTTTGTTTGATCCAAAGCAGTGGGACTTCCTGGTGGATCAGTTTAAACAGGAGTTTTACAGTTTATATGGCATGACCCCGAGCCATTGCTGAATATTTATCTACAAGCAGGCTTGTCCGCATTGAAAACTCCGTATCCTCACAGAAGCTACCATTACGTAGCCTGCCTATTCATTATCTATATTTATCTGCCTTTTAGAAGCTGCAGTGACGTTAGCAAGCATTTAACTGATCTTTTAGCAGTCCTTGAGTTTTCATTCTGGGTTACAATGAAGTTGTAAGAATCTTACATTGCATTTGTGTTGACATACATGCTTGCATGCATGTCTTTAACAAGTACATCTAAATTCCTGAACGACTAAGTCCTGCCGTAAGATTTGATATTTCTGCATTTCCCTTGACATAATTAGATACTGTTATGAAGATGACTGCACCAAGGAGGACCCATTGTCACTGGACAACTTCCGGAAGTTAGCAATGCCATTGCCCTACTCGAAGCAGCATCATTCGAAGCTTGTTTGCTACATAACCAAAGAGTTGATGGATACAGAGAATCCACCTCAAGTCTTACCAAATGGCTATGTCTACAGCACTAAGGTTCACAACAAACTTTCACTTTTTTGTTTCCATTGGATTCAATCCAGTGATTAAAAAATGGGTAAACTACGCATTTAGTCCTAAGCTATCAGTTTTGGTCTGTTTTAGTACCTAAACTTTCATTTTGTTTTTAAAATCGTACCTAACGTTAAGTTTTTATTTCATTTTACTATCCCGTTAAAAACTTAACGTTAAGTTTTGAATTTTTTTTTTGAATGTTTATATATTAAAACAAACTAAAACTAATAGTTTAGGTAACTAAGTTTTTAATGGCGGGTACTAAAATGAAACAAAAACTAAACGATAGGTATGGTTTTGAAAAAATTAAAAGTTTAGGTACTAAAATGGACCAAAATTGATAATTTAGGTATTAAACGCGTAGTTTACCCTAAAAAATTAGAGCAGACAGGCCGATCCGACCAGTTGAATCAAGAACTGGTTGTCCTTGCTGTGTTGCATTATTTATAAAACCAGGTTTTCTTCGAACCGGTGGGAAGTTAGTATTTATATTTAACATTCAAATCACTTTTTATGTACTTAAAGCTATTTTGATCCTACCGGTTGGACTTTTGCTTATTGGAAACGTTGATATGGACACGATCCTGTAGCATCAAACTATAGGTCCGACTGTTCCAGTCCAGTTATTTTTTAAAACCTTGGTTAAATCTTTTTGTTTCCTTGTCTTGTGTGGTAGGCTCTCAAAGAAATGGCCGAGAAAAACAACGGGAAAATTACATGTCCAAGGACGGGTCTGGTCTGCAATTATTCTGAACTGGTTAAGGCCTATATCTCATAAATCTTGCACGGTCAAGACTGCAAAGGTAACAAAAAAGGAACCCTTCTTGAACTGTTTCCTCGTGTTACTGGTAATCTTCTGCATTATCTATAGATATTCAGCTGCTTTCGAAATTTCCAAAACATCGATTTAAGAACTGAACACCATAATTCTTCTTGCACCTTAAACTTGTTAGGGTATATAATAACTTACCTAATGTAAATATGCATCTGAAAGTCACATCGATTTAACTTTCGATTATTTTACTAATTTCATGTAGATTATCATTGTAGGAGTAGAGATATCTCGAGTCACTTTAGGAACAAGGAAAGAGGATAACACTGTCTTGGCAAAGAACAAAATCCCTTTCGAGTAATTGTGATTCATATATGAGTTGAGCAACTTCTTCAAGTAGGTCAAATTCTGTAAAATGTCCCCTTATTTGTTTTTATGGATTTGGTCCCTCTACTATAATCTGATCATTTCATTTTTCATTTAAGGATAATTTGATCCTTTCTAGTTTCTATATTTGGAAGTTGAGGCTAATTTTTCATTAATTCCGTCAAATAATTTAGTTTTATATTTTTTAAAAATATATAATGATGTGGCATACTAATACAGGTTAGAGGTGTATTCAGCCTTCAAAATAGTCCATTTTTTTTCATTAACTATCATTATCTCATCATTGACCGATTAAAACGGATCGACTATTACAAAGGTCTATTGTGGAAGCGACATTCTTGACTCAGTTTACGTCCTTAATATCATCAAGATTTAAACATTTGACTTTTCTTAAGGAATATAGTATTTTATCTCACGCCAATTGACTATCGGTACCTTTCAAAACATTGGTTATTATTATTATTTTTTTAAATAAACAGTTACCTAAAGTTGTAAATCTGTAGAAAAACTGATGTGGCTTCTCAGAAGTACATCCCGTGGCTCAAATGTTTAATAGTTCCTTTGGCTTCTATATTGTAATTAAATTATCAGTTTGATAACTATACAATATTTTTATTAGTTTAACACTTGTATTATCATTTTGTATACGTTGTTACCTTATTATAATTTCCCATTTAATAATTTGTCGTAACCCTATGGCATTGTGTTGTGTAATAAAAAAATTAAACTTCAATTAAAATCTTAAATATAAAATATTTCAAAAAGTTCTTAAAATTTAAAAAATAGAAAACCTAAACATATTTTTAGAACTTTAGATTTTTTTTTAAAGATATTATAATTTTTTTGAAAATGAATTAAACATAATTACAATTTAAAAAATAAAAATAACTTTATAGGGATTTAAAAATACAAGGATGGGCAAAATCAGTCCAATAATTTAATTATAGTATAGGGGCAAAACAACTATAAAATTATTAAAAATTTTAAGGAAAAAAAAGTAATCTCTAAATTTTAAAATATATCAACACTCAAAATATAATTATAAAAAAACTTTAAAAATTCCAACTTTGATATCTTTACCACTCATATTGGCATTGCTCAAGAGCAAAAAGAAAAAATTACAAGAAAAGAGAGACTACACTAAAGGGATTCTCTTTCCTCTTTTCATCTCTCTTATGATTCTTTTAAAAATATTAAATTTAAATTAATAATTTTTACATCCAATTAGACCAAAGTTGACAAAAGCAGAAATCAAAACCTAGACAATATGTGGGGTGGAACAACTCTAATCAGTAAATCATGTTATCTTTTCAGTAAAAGAAACTTACCGTAGATTTTATTAAAACCTATTTTCTGAATGAAAATCTATTTATAGCTTTAGACATGACTCTTAAAATTTGTATTTAAAAACAGAATTAAAACAACTCAAAACCAGAAAATAACACAGTAAATTCCGACCCTTCACTACTAAAACTGCTATAACTTTCTCTAGAGAAATCCAATAGACTTGAAATTTGTTGTACCTGAAAATAGACTTCAATAGCTTTAATTTGATAGGTTATACACCCATAATGGTTAACGTTTGCCCCTTCAAAATGTCATTTAAAAACTGCCTTAAATCTGTCCACTGTGCAGTTACGAATTTAATGGCAAATTAAGTTTATTCAACACCCCTCCTTAAACTTAATTCTCTTCTGTCCTTCATGCCAAGTAGATTTCTCATTTTCTCAAAAAGTCTTGTGGACAGTGGCTTTGCAAAGATGTCAGCTGCTTGGTCTTCGCTTTTCACATGCACCAGTTTTATCTCCTTTTCCTTCACGTGCTCTCGGATGAAATGGAACTTCAGGTCAATATGCTTACTTCTTTCATGATGGACAGGATTCTTTGCCAATTCAATCGCTGATCTACTGTCCAAGTAAATTTGTGTGGCCTTCTCTTGAGCAAAATTTAGCTCATTCAACAATCTTCTCAACCAAATCACATGACACACACAACCTCCTGCTGCCACATACTCTGCTTCGCACGTAAAGAGTGTTACGACTGGTTGTTTCTTTGATAGCCAAGTGAATGTCGTGTCCCCCAAAAAGAACACATATCTCAATGTACTCTTTCGATCATCCACGTCACCGCACCAATCGCTATCGTAATATCCCACTAGCATGAAATCTTCAGCTTTTGTGTAGAATAACCCAATGGATTCAGTTCCCCGAATATACCGCAAAATTCTCTTTACTGCTTTCAAATGCGTGTAGACCGGCTCCTCCATGAATCTACTTACAACACCAACGCTATAAGAAATGTCCGACCTTGTGCATGTGAGATAACGAAGACTCCAAACTAAACTTCGGTACTTGGTCGCATCTACTCGTTCTCCACCATCAAACTTAGAAAGTTTCACCCCGGTTCCATTGGTGTCAATACCAGATTACAATCCTCCATTTTGTTTCATTTTAGAATTTCTTTTGCATATTTTTCTTGTGACACAAAAATCCCAGTATTTTCTTGTCTAACCTCCAGGCCAAGAAAGTACTTCATCAAACCCAAGTCTGTCATTTCGAACTCCCGAGTCATAGCCTCTTTAAAATCTTTTATCATCTCCTCATTATTCCCCATGAATATAAGATCATCAACATAAAAAGCTACAAACAACAAGTTACCTTTTTCTTTCTTCACATACAATGCATGCTCGTATGGGCATTGAGTAAACCCATTCTTCTTGAAGTAAGTATCGATGCGGGTATTTCAAGCTCGAGGTGTGCCTTCTTTAATTTCAACACCTTCTTTTCTTCCCCGATTTTCATGTACCCAGGTGGTTGCTCTACATACACCTCTTCTTCTAGCACACCATTCAAAAATGCTGACTTGACATCCATTTGAAAAAATTTCCATTTGAATTGAGCTGCTTGAGAAATGAGAAGGCGAATAGGCTCCATTCTTGTAACTGGGGCAAACACTTCATCATAGTCTATCCCCGCCTTTTGTCGATACCCCTTTGCAAATAGCCTTGCCTTGTATCGCTCTATCTCACCTTGAGCATTCATCTTCTTTTTGTATATCCATTTTACTCCTATGGGCTGACTTCCTTTTGGCAATTTAACCAGCTCCAAAGTTTGGTTTCGCTCAATTGCTTTTATTTCTTCATCCATGGCTGCTTGCCACTTCTCATTCCGTACCGCTTCTTCAAATGTAATTATTTCGGCATCCGCCCAAAGACAAATTAAATGTACCTCACTTGTTGAGTCGTACAAATCTTGCATGCTTCGCATCATTGGTTGTCTTGGCTCATCTTCATCATCGATTGTTGGTGAATTTTCTGGTGTGTTTGTTGGTGTAATGATTGCACCGGTAGATGCTTCTCCTTTCTCAAATATTACTTCCGTTGATTTTTCCCAATCCCACGAACTTGACTCGTTTACATGCACATCTCGGCTGACTACTACTTTCTTTTCTATTGGATCAAACAACTTGAAACATTTTGTCTTTTCATCATAGCCAATAAAGATATATCTTTTTCTTTTGTCATCGAGCTTGGTTCTTCTTTGATCCGGTACATGCGCATAGGCCACACTACTGAATACTTTGAAATGCGATACGGTCGGTTTTCATCCACTCTAAGCTTCTTGTGGTGTTTGGTTCACCAATTTCGCATGTGGCCACCGATTTTGAACATACACGGCACCTTGAACCGCTTCTGCCCAAAATTCTTTAGGCATGTCTTTGCTCTTCAACATCGATCGAACCATGTCAAGAATAGTCCAATTTTTCCTCTCGGCCACACCGTTTTGTTGAGGTGAGTAGGGTGCGGTTAAAAACCTCTTGATTCCTTGCTCCTCGCAATATTTTGTAAAGGCAGTTGACATGTACTCTCCACCTCTATCTAACCGTAAAGCCTTGATATAATTCCTGGTCGTCTTCTCTACTAACACCTTGAATTTCTTGAACACCTCGAATGCCTCATATTTTTCCTTCAAAAAATAAACCCAAGTTTTCCTTGTGCAATCATCAATAAAAGTGATAAAATACCTTTTCTCACTGAATGACTTTGGTGTGATAGGACCGCATATGTCGGTGTATATCAACTCGAGAGGCCTCCTTGCACGATATTTTGCTTTTTTTAAAAAATATTCCTCGCTTGTTTGCCGAGTACACATCCCTCGCAAAATTTCTTAATGTAATCTATGTCAGGTAGCCCGTGTACCATATCCTACCTTTCTAACTCTTTTAGGCCACCGTAATGCAAGTTTCCGAATCGTAAGTGCCACAACAAGGCCTTATCCTCCATGTTGACTTGCAAACATCTTTCTCGCACCTTTCTCAAGTTAAGTTTGAACATTCGATTCTTGGCCATCTCCACACGTGCATGCAACTGACTTTTTTTATCCTTCAAGTGCAACATTCGGTCTTTCATGAAAACTGAATATCCCTTCTCCAATAATTGCCCCATGCTAAGGATATTACTCTTCAAATCGGGCACATAATAAACATCCTCAATCGATCCTTCTTTACCATCTTTTTGAGAAAAACATATTTTACCTCGGCCCTTTACTTGAACCTTCGATGCATCTCCAAATGACACGTGCCCTTCTTCTATCTCTTGCATCTCCACAAAGAGGTGTTTGTGCCCGCACATATGATTACTAGCGCTGGTATCAAGATACCACACCGTGTCGCTATCAAGAACGATATTTTCGTAGGCCATCATGAGAACACCATCTTCTCTTGTCTCCTCTTCCGCGAATAAATTCATGTTTTCTTCTACCTTTTTCTCGGAATAGCACTCCTTTGCATAGTGGCCATAATTGCTACAATTTTAGCACTCGACATTTGATTTGCACTCTTTTGCATAGTGCCCATGCTTGCCGCAGTTATAACACTCGACATTTGAATGATTTGACCGGTCGCCTCTCCCACGACCACGTCCTCTACCTCACCAATTTTGTTGGTTTGACTGCCCCTTCTCCTTATAGTATCCACCTCGACCGCGGCCTCCACCACCGCGACCATTGCTGCGACCTCCACGGCCGCTCCCTCTACCTCAAAAGTTTTGATTATAGAGTACCTTTTTGTCTTTGATAGACACCTTGGCTTGTAGTGCTT